GCCTTCCAAGTAGCCAGAACTACAGGCACACGCTACCACACCCAGCTAATTTTTTATTTATTGTAAAAATGAGATCTCGCCAAGTTGCCCGGGTGGCTCAGGGCAGTCCTCTCACCTTGGCCTCCCAAAGTGCTGGGATTACAGGCTGAGCCACCGAACCCAGCCCAGATTTATATTTTTAAAATACTTTTTTCAATATTATTTGCTTGTGTAAATAGTTATATTTTTTTGACTGTTGTTACTCCTTTGAATATGATCATTCTGGAATAAGAGCAGCAACCTGTCAGTTTGCTTTTTTCTTCTCCAGTAAGATGTGTATTTCATATTGTCCTATTACCTGCTAAATACTTAGTCTCAGCTGGGCTCAGTGGCTCATGCCTATAGTCTCAGTGCTTTGGGAGGCCAAGTCAGGAGGATGGCCAGGAATTTGCAAGTAGCCTGGGCAATGTAGCTACACCCTGTCTCTAAACTGAAAAGAAACAAAAACAACAACCAGCATCTATTCTTGAAGACCTAATATGAATAAACAAAAACATGTAAGTTTGCCTATTTTACTTTAATTTTCTAGATATCGTCATGAGTTTAAGTCAAACGAGCTATGGACTGAAATTAAACTTGTTCTGGATGCCTTTGCTTTGCCTTTGACTAATCTATTTAAGGTATGGAATAGCATCTTGGTGATACTTTAAAGTTACATAATATTTTTAATTGCTTAAATCTTTGTATAAATTCTAAGAAGGCTTTGAAAGAGTTTGGCATGGATACGTGATGAATAATGTTTACAGCATTTCTTTTGTTTTTTATTTTATTTGGGGATTCGGGTGCAGGTTTGTTAACTTGGGCTTATTGTGTAATGGTGAGGTTTGGGCTTCTAGTGAGCCCATCGCCCAAATAGTGAACATTGTACCCAACAGGTAATTTTTCAACCCTTGCCCTCCTTCCATCTTCCCCAGAACATTTCTTTAAAAAAATCTCAAGCCTGCAGAAAATGAGATGATGTTATAATGAACACTCATCTGTTATTTTTTTATTTTTTGAGTTGGAGTCTCACTCCGTCGCCCAGACTGGAGTGCAGTGGCCGCTCCTGGCCACCGCAGCCTTGACCTGCTGGGCTCCGGCAATCCTTCCGCCTCAGCCTTCCAAGTAGCCGGAACTACATGCGTGCACTACCACACCCAGCTAATTTTTTTATTTATTGTAGAGATGAGGTCTCACCAAGTTGCCCAAGGGGGTCTCAAACCCGCGGGCTCAGGCAATCAACTCCCTCAGCCTCCCAAGGCACGGGATTACAGGCTAAGCCACTGAGCCCGGCCATCTGTTGTTTTATAAGTTTAACGGTTACCAACATTTTGTTCTTTTTTTTTTAATCTAATCCCCTATTTAGGAGTATTTATTTATTTTATTTCAATTTTTTTTTTTTCAGTTGGAGTCTGTTGCCCAGGCTGGAGTGCAGTGGCACGCTCACGGCCACTGCAGCCTCGACCTGCTGGCCTCAGGCAATCCTTCTTCTCAGCCTTCCAAGTAACTGGAACCACAGGCATGCGCCACCATTCCCAACTAATTTTTTCTTTTATTGTAGAGACATGGTTATGCCGAGTATGTCTCTAAAGAAAGAGATCCACATGTTTATTTGACTGTGTATAGAGTTTAATTAACTTATATATTTGTACATGATTTTATAGTATACAGACTGCTTTCCTAAACATGTTCTTAGTCTTTGTGAAAATCTCATAAGATAGAAAAGTATTGTTAATCTTTTTTTCCAGATAGTGAAAAGGGATTTGGTATCACACCGCTAAAAAAAAAAAAAAAGAAAGAAAAGAAAAGAAAACTAGGCCTCAAATCTAGTTTTGCTGATGCCAAAAAAGCTGTTTGTTTCCTTTTTTTTCTTTTGAGTTGGAGTCTCACTCTGTCACCCAGGCTGGAGTGCAGTGGCACGCTCACCATCATCACACCTGTCTAATTTTTTTATTTATCATAAAAATTAGGCCTTGCCAAATTTTTTTTTAATTTTTTTGTAGAGACAAGGTCTCGCAAAGTTGCCCAGGCTGGTCTTGAACCCCTGGGCTCATGCAATCCTCTTTCCGTCACCTCCCAAAGTGTTGGGATTACACGCGTGAGCCGCCGCACCCAGATTTTTTCTTTTTCTTTTTGAGTTGGAGTCTCATTCTGTCGCCTAGGGTGGAGGACAACAGCACGATCACAGCCACCACAGCCTTAATCTGCTGGATTCAGGCAATTCTTCCACCTCAGCCTTCCAAGTAGCCAGAAATACAGGCGTGCGCTACCACGCCCAGCTAATTTTTTGATTTATTGTTGGGACGAGGTCTCCCCAAGTTGCCCAGACTGGTCTCAAACCCTTGGGTTCAGGCAGTCCTCTGGGATTACAGATTTGAGCCAGTGCGCCTGTCCTGTTTCTTATTTTCAGAGGGGAAGGTTGTATGGTGCTCAGTAATAACATGCAGAACATGTACAAGGTTTTTCATGGTTAGGGCAACTTGGTGATGGTATAGTTTTATTTTTAAAATAGAATTGTATAAAGCTGGGCATAGTGACTCACGCCTATAATCCCAGCACATTGGAAGGCAGGTTAGGGGATTGCCTGAGCTCAGGGGTTCGACACCAGCCTGAGTAGCGTGGTGAACCCTTGTCTCTACAATAAATCAAAAACTTAGCCTGGCATGGTGGTGCATGCATGTAGTTTCAACTACTTAGAAGGCTGAGGCAGTAGGATTCTTGAGCCCCACAGATTCAGGCTGTAGTGGCTGTGGGCGTGCTATTATACTTCAGCTTGGGTGACAGTGATACTTCAAGTCAAAAATAAGAATTGTATAAAATGAGATAGCGTTTCACCTATTCATTTAGGAAAGATTTTTATTTCTCAAAAGATAGTAAAATAGGCCGTGTTGGAGGCTCATGTCTATAATCCCAGCACTTTGGGAGGCCGAAGTGAGAGGATTGCCTGAACCCCCCACGGGTTTGAGAGCAACCTGGGCAACTTGGCAAGACCTCTTTTCTCCAATTAAAAAAAAAATTAAAGATATTAAAATCCTTGCCCAGATCTCAGTGAAGTGAGCACTCTAATGTTCTGATATTGGATGATAAATGATAATAGCTTTTTGGAGATTGGCATCTCATTAAGAAAACTTTAATATTCATATTTCTTAACTCGAGAATAAAGGAAGTAGCATTTGTTGAGTGTCTTTTACCCAGAAAATGTGTACAAAATACTAGGACCTTTTATGTGTATTTTATCATTTAATTGTCAGACTCTATATTTGTGGTAGCCATTGTTCCTATATTACGATAAGGAAATTGGGATCATAGTAAAACAACTTACTTTTTCTTTTTTTAATTTTAAAGATGTGGGGTGCAATTTAGGACTCGTTTTGCTGTTGCCAGAAAAACTATTTGTTATCTTTTTTTTTTGAGTCGGAGTCTTAATTCTGTCACTCAGGCAACCCGCTGGGCTTAGGTGATCCTTCTCCCTCAGCCTTCTAAGTAGCTGGAACTACAGGTGCACACTAGCACGCCCTGCCAATTTTTTAATTTTACTGTAGAGATAAGGTCTCGTCAAGTTGCCCAGGCTGTGGACTCAGACAGTCCTCACCTCAGCCTCCCAAAGTGCTGAGATTATAGGCATGAGCCACCATGCCTGGCCTACTTTCAGGTTGCTTTCTTAAAGCATTGCTCCTTAAGAGTGACAGAGCTTGAGTTGTATACAGGTCTATATGACATCCAAAACTTGTGCTTATAGCATACTATGCTGCTTTGGTAATACACCTCTAGACTTTCAGACTGCAAAAATTAGAAGTTTATGGTTAAGCTGGTTTATTGCAGTTAGAGAAATGAAAAGTTGGAGACAACCTAAATGCCAAGTGTCAGAAGAGTTCTTTAATGAGAGCATGTGAAGACATTTTTTGTAATATACATACATATAATCACATAGATTATTGGAAGGATATAGTTTAGAAAATTAACATTGGAATTTTTTAGTAGTGCCTTTATGAATAATTTAAAAATACATACTTATAATTTTCCGAATTGCTTATATGACTATATACTGCCATTTAAAAGCCAGATTTTAGAGAAGAAATGTGTCAGTGTAGTGCAAGGCTGTTTCACTGATATCAGCAAGCTAGGTTTACAAAACACTAAAACTGTGTTGCTGAATTTTTTTCCAAGGCCACCATTGAACTCTGCAGTACCCATGCAAATGATGCCTCTGCCCTGAGGATTCTGTTTTCTTCCCTGATCTTGATCTCAAAATTGTTCTATAGTTTAAATTTTCAGGTAAGTTAAGTTTCATTTGAAATCTTGCTTTGAATCTTAATTTTTTATTTTAAATATAGTTTCTATTTGATGAAGACTTCTTTGCCAGCATTGACTTTTCTGAAAGAAAACGAAGTTTTTTGTGGTTTTGCTGTTCTACATCCACGGTGTTCTTTTCTTTTTTTGAGTTGGAGTCTTACTCTGTCACCCAGACTGCAGTGCAGTGGCCAGTCCCGGCGGCCACTGCAGCCTCGACCCGCTGAGCTCCGGCAATCCTTCCGTCTCAGCCTTCGAAGTAGCTGGAACTACAGGCACGCGCTACCACGCCCGGCTGACGTTTTGATTTATTGTAGAGATGAGGTCTCGCCAAGTTGCCCAGGGGGATCTCGAACCCGCGGGCTCAGGCAATCCACTTACCTCAGCTTCCCAAGGCGCGGGATTACAGGCTGAGCCACCGAGTTCGGCTACGGTGTTCTATTTTACAATAGTTCCTAGATATGCTTAATGGGTGTTTCATGGGAAAAAGTAGCATTTTTTTGTATCCAGTGGATTACAAAAACCCTACATCCTGATTCACCATTTTGGAGAGTCATTCTATACACAGTTTTATTGAAGGCACTGAGAAGCCAGATTTCAGAGGCCCTCTTTTGTTCATTCACATGGGTATTAACACTTGGGGAACCATGTTTTGGTAAGAGTATCCTTGACTAGCTTATACAAAAGGCCTTTTATCAGAAGCACATGGAGAGACAGAATGCTGAAGTATCAGACTTAGAGGGGTAAGACTCAATTACATTTCAGAGGAAAACATAGCCACAGGGTAATATCAGGGAAAATCTGGTCACCCTATTGCTTCTGAAACAGTGGCCTCCAATCTTTTTTTTTTTTTTTTTGAGTTGGAGTCTCACTCGGTC